TTGTTTGTTTCTCTCTCGCTTCTCTCGCTTTCGTCTCCATGGTTTCAGCTACTTCCGTCATTGCTTGGTCCATTCTCTTTCTCCAACCTTCTTCTTTTCACTTGTCTGTTTTTCTCTATTGCTGGTTCTGACTTGTGCTCTTTTCGTTTGATTTGTGTCGTTCAGGGGCTCTGGAGAAGACGGACAATTAGGACTTGGAACCGATGAAGAAAAGGAATGGGCTTGCGTCGTCGAGTCTCTTGACCCTTTTACTGTTCGCTCCGTCGTCGGAGGTAGCCGCAATTCCCTCGCCATTTGCGATGATGGCAAGGTAAACACTAATCGATTCATTTTCTGTCCGTGCTTGTCTTCTTTTGGTGGGTTTAGTTTACAACTTACTGAAAAGTTTATTGCTTTAGGTTGATTTGCGATTTGATTTCTATCTTGGCTTTGGCGATGTTATCTTAGGTAGCTTTACACACAACAACAAAAAAGTGAGGGTTTTTGAGGGTTTAAAGTTATCCCCTTTTCTGGTTTGTCACAAAGTCTCATTTCACCTTTGAGCTTTCTCGCTGGTTCTGTATCCATGGAGTAGTTTATGATTGGTTTGGACTCTTGTGTCACCTACTTATAGAAATTTTTTTGATCTTATTTTGTCTGTCAACTTCTGAAAGATTCTTGATTTTGATCCTTAATTAAGCTTTTGAGCTGTATCTGAGGAGACATTTTTTTGTAAATGGAATTTATGTTTTGCTATCTTGAAATGTGTTCTCAGCTGTTTACATGGGGTTGGAATCAAAGGGGTACATTAGGACACCCACCAGAGACAAAAACAGAAAGCATCCCTAGTCAAGTCAAGTCTCTTGCCAATGTCAAGATTGTTCAGGTGAAAAGTCATTCAATTATAAACTACTTTTTTTATAAGTATTTTGTTGTTCTGATTTACTCTGAATGCGGTTCCTGCGATGGATCATAGGCAGCTATTGGTGGTTGGCATTGTTTAGCTGTAGATGATCAAGGCCGAGCATATGCTTGGGGTACGTGTTTTTTTTCTCCAGCTTCTGTCTATTGATTGTGACCTTAAACATCTTAAAAGTGACCAATTTTGTTTTGGAACCGCTTAGGGGGAAACGAATATGGACAGTGTGGTGAAGAGCCTTCCAAAGATGAAGCAGGTAGGCCTGTGAGGAGGGATATTGTAATCCCTAAGCGTTGTGCCCCAAAACTTACAGTTCGACAGGTAATTTGTGCGGTTTAGCCTCTCTGCATTTACGTCAAATTTTAGTGCTTTTCTTTCCGTCTAAAACCATTTTTTATCGAGTTTCTATGATTAAATAACAGGTAGCTGCAGGGGGTACTCACTCTGTAGTTTTAACACGTGAAGGTCATGTATGGACTTGGGGTCAACCGTGGCCTCCCGGTGACATGTATTAAACCAATTTTCCTTTCATTTATCGATACAACATTTGCATTTTCTTGTCTGCTGTTACTAAATGTGAAGATTTCCTGTATTTTTTTCAATCACAGAAAACAGATATCTGTTCCTGTTAGAGTTCAGGGCCTTGAAAAAGTTCGTGTGATTGCTGTTGGAGCATTTCATAATTTGGCTCTGAAAGAAGATGGGACCTTGTGGGCTTGGGGTAATAATGAGTACGGACAACTTGGAACCGGCGATACCCAACCGAGATCTCAGCCTATTCCTGTCCAAGGCCTCGATCATCTGACTTTGGTATACGTGTTACTTTCTTCATCCTTTCAATTTTTTTAAACTCCGAGGTAAAGCTTTCAACCAGTTCTCTTCCCTATTGCACAGGTTGATATTGCTGCGGGTGGATGGCATTCAACGGCTTTAACTAATGAAGGAGAGGTATTGGAACTCATCTAGTCTCATGTTATTCTAAAGTCTCACTTTTCATTTCATCTTCTGCTGGATCTTTGTTTTTGGTCAATCCATTGCTCGATTGTTTTTAAGCTTGATGTAGATCTTAACTGTAAATATTGTTACTTGGTCATATCCAAAATAAGGTGTACGGTTGGGGAAGAGGAGAACACGGAAGGCTCGGGTTTGGTGACAATGACAAGAGCAGCAAAATGCTTCCACAGAAAGTTAATCTCTTGGCAGGAGAAGACATCATTCAGGTAAAGAGTTAAACCACCAGTTTCTGTATTCTTCTCATAACTTGCGAAAGCTCTTATCGATCTTTCTTCGCAGGTCTCTTGTGGCGGAACTCATTCAGTCGCTTTGACAAGAGATGGTAGGATCTTCTCGGTAAGTACCCATAAAGAGAATTTTTTTTTTGTTGGGTTTATGAACCAAAAGTCGATCTCTGAACCTTTCGTTTCTATCAATTCTTGTGATCAGTTTGGTCGGGGAGACCATGGTAGACTCGGGTATGGAAGAAAAGTGACGACGGGACAACCAATAGAGCTCCCTATAAACATTCTGCCACCAGAAGGACAGTTTAACCACGCTGATGAAGCAGAAGATGGAAAATGGATAGCTAAGTTTGTGGCTTGTGGCGGGCGACACACACTTGCTATTGTGGAATGGAAGTTTGATCAGGAGGAAACAGAAGAAGAATCATAAAGAAGAAAGCCAAAAAAACACAAGAGGGACTATAGAGAGAAACATTTGTTATAGAGAAAAGGGGAGCAAAATAATGGTTAAGCTTTTGACACTCCCATGAATGAATGATGAATCTATATGAAGAGTAAGGACTGTTATATATAATCCCATTATGAATTTTGGTTATTTTTTAATTATTGAGAATAGATAGTAAAAGAGAAAACAAAAGGAGAATCTTGCAAACATTTTAAACTCTTCTTCTTGCAGTTTCTTAATTCTCTTGGCTTCCTTTTTTTTGGGTTTAAAGGTTTTTTCAACAACCTTTGACAAGATGAGGAACACAAATTGGGAAGATGTACTTTGATTTTCTTGCTTTTCTTTGTCTTGATCTCACCCATGAGAAGCATCCA